ACATTAGCTTTTAGAGAATTGCCGCAATCGAGTAACCAACTGGTCCTGAATAACATGATAAAAACAAACAGATTGGTAAGCCTGATTATTATATTTATTACTGTGTCGAAATAACAGCACATCTGATTGCCATCCATGACCATAAGAGTTTTGCAAGAGTTTTAAATACTGTCTGCCAGCCCGAGACAACCCTTCTTTATCTGTGCTTGGGAGTTGGACCATTAGTGTTAGGCAAGCTCATACTGGCASAGTTAAAATTTCAGTACATCTGACCAATTCCTTTATTGTTTGTTCATTGTGCACCAGAGCTTGTGCAGAGGAGGCATTGCTGATGTTGAATGGAACCCAGTTGGGGGGGCAAAATATTCGGCTTTCATGGGGACGCAGTCCTTCCAGTAAACAGGTTTGAATATCACTTGCGTTGTTGAATTCATATTTACATAATCCCATGAATCTGACAAATTTACAGGACTCTGTTGGRTGGGAACAGCCACAACCAGATCCAAATCAGTGGAATGGAGGATATTATGGCTATGGACAAGGATACGAGGCCTATGGATATGCTCCACCTCCTCAAGATCCAAATATGTATGCCTATGGAGCTTATCCTGGATATGGGAATTACCAACAACAGGTGAATCTTGTGTTCTTTCTAGAATAAACTACTTTATGACAATAATGATGCCAGTACAAGGCCTGTGTTTTTCCTTTTCAAAAATCTAGAATGGGTTTCTCTCAACTACTAGTTTTGTTAGACTTCTGATAAACAATAAAGATATTAAGGCAGCGTTTGTTTTAGGTTTAAATACGGACGGGTGTAAAACTCCACTTACGGTCCGTATTTGTTTTTAATGTAGTTTTACATCGAAAATCGATGTAAACTCCACTCATGGTAGAGTTTTACACCGATAATTGATGTAAAGACAGCATCGATAAAATCGTTGTAGGTATTTACATCGGTAACCATGCCTTTCATTTTATAACCGTTCACTCATTTAAACTGATCAGTGTTGGAAGTCCATCTATGTACTTTTACATTGACAAATATTTAAACTTAAAACAAATGCTGCCTAAAAAACTACATCCTAAGGTCTTTCTTTGCAAGAGTTAAAACAGAAGAACAGGTAACCTATCACAAAAAGGAGGAACACGCAACAGGAATAAGTTTAATATACACTTTATTGAATGTAAAACATGTCCAAATTGATAATTGTACAAAATTGTTTTACATTATTGATTCACCCATCATTTCTTTGTTTGGATGAGGTGGTAGAGTTGGAATCTGACATGCCTCACATAAATAATATTTCTTTTTAAATATCACATAAATAATATTTAAATAGATATTAATTATCATGATTTTTTATATTATTCTTAAAATTCATGTAACCATATAGCAACATAAATTACACTTTACAACTGACAGGTGAAACTCACAGCCTTTGCTTATTTGTCACATGGATGCTAGTTTTTAATTGTTTCCTAGTTTCATTGTTAATTGGAAAAGATTCAGTAAACAACTGATTATGAGATATGTAAATTGGGAAATATAAATTCTAGAGGTCCCCTATTGGACAGTTTAAATAATTGGACCTCTATTACATAGAGGCGTTTAAAAGTGAGGGTTCATAATTTTGGAGCTGATGCAGCAGCAGACCTTTTGGTAAATTATACACCCGCACTTTTGCTGACTAGCTGAGTCTGACCTGTATTTTGGAAGTCAATTTGTGGACATGCTTTGATTCACAATCACCCCCAAAGTGGGTTTGCTCATGAAATATTGGTTTTTTTGGCCAGGTGCTATCTGGTTATAGACAAACCTTTGTAACTCATAAGTTGCGAAGCGCAAGTAAAACCAAGTTCCTGTATCTTACTAGAACACAACAGATCCGAAATGTTTTGTTTTACATTGTTAAGATCTAGTCTCAAGATAATCTGCTTGGTGGAGATTCTGTTTGACAATTGTCCGTATTTATCACTTGTCAGAGTTTTTGAAAACTTTTCTTTTGTGCAGTGATTTGCTGGTTATTGTGAACTAGTATTCCGAATGCGGAGACGTATCATTTTGCGTATCTGGAGAGAATCTTTGTAACTCTAATATGCTGTTCTGCTTGTCTGGCTCTTGATGTTGTGTTATTGTTGGAAGCTGTTCGACAATTAGAAAGCTGCAGACATGTCATGCGTGTTCTCTTGTTTGCTTTCTTCTTTCCCCGACTCTTACTTAAGACCCAAATATGAGCATGGATGATTGAAAATTAACTTATTTTTTAACTAGTTCTTATATATGCTTAGAAACGATTACACTGCGCTTCTTTTGTGATTTTCGTGTATTGTTTAATCGTCTTAGCGATTTTTTTTGGGTTTACATGATAATTAAAATGTTGGTCATGACTCTGCTTATGCTCCGTGAGTCAGTTAAGGTTGTACGAACAAGTTGGTTCTACACGGTGGAGCTAATTTAGAAATTAAGTTCCTTGCATTTTGAATATTTAGTGATTGAAATTTTGATTTAACATCTAGCAATGGTTCTTTTGGAGACTGAATCTCCTCCCAACAAAAAAAATGCTCCAATTTATATCAACATTTTCTCATGGTTGATAATTGTTGGAAGAGTATGTGGGTGGGTGTCATGAATTGAATCCAGTTGACTTTAAACGCCATTTTGCTTGCATTTCGTAGTAATACATTTGTATTTGAATTTTGATCAAGGCAATCCAAATATTATTAATTGTTAAGGTTCAAAGGGGCTGTGCTATGATTAATTGGTTTGGCGAATCTGAGAATGCAAGGTTCTTGTTTGAGAATTAACATGTATTATTCAGTCCAATTTCAACCCCAGATAGCTATGTCATACCTTGTTAATGGCCCTTTAATAAAATAATATATGCATCGGTAGAGTTGGTTCACAGGAATAGTGGTCTGGAATTCGGAATGGAATTCCAGCTGTTTGATTGGGTAGAAATGGAATCCAGCCCATTCCCATTTTTGTTGGAATGGTATTCCTCTATTTGAGGGAATGGCGATTCCCTACCCCCCCCTTGAGAATGAAATCTCATTCTCATTTCTATTGCTATCTGAACCAAACAGATTATGGAAATAGGCATTCCAATTCGGATTTCAACTATGAATCAAGCAAGCTCTACAAACACAAGGAAGCGATTTGAAGTCTTTTCAATTTTCGTTCATATTAAATAATAACATATTCATTTTTAATTTATTTCATTGATATTTGGTAATACAAAATCGTAAAATATTCTGGTCGTTGTTAGCTCAGATGGATAGGGGGGCTCAATTTCAACTCCAGATTGCTAGCGCATACTATGCCCAATTCAATCCCATTCATTTGCAGCATTATATCAATGATGCATCCCTTGTGACTACCACAATGGTCCTTTTTTGTCTATTCACAGATTGTGCTCAATCAGATCAGGACCCATTTTTATAATAAAAAAGTATGCGTCGGCAAAAAAATTTCTTTGACCATCTCTGTCGTTCTCTCTGAGACATTGTCATTGCCACCGGGGCCACAAGAAGCCAACCGACCAGGTTGGGTTGTTTGGCGGAATCAAATCTTTTGGTTCCGGTCTTCCCGTGTTTGGCCAAATACACGTCTATCTTCACTAGTTCTAGCCTTCTATGCATGAATTTTGCAAGAAGGATCACCTAGCCCCTAGGTTGAGTTGAATTACTCTCAAAATCAACAAGAAAAGAGACATACATCACATCTACGAAATGCTTGAATTATAATCTGTCATTTACTCATTTTATTCTGCAGTGAAATCCAGAATTTGGGGAACCGATTAAATTGCCAGAATTAAACTCATGGGATCCAAACTGCCTTCCTTAATCTTCAATCAGGTTTCTTCAAGTTCAGACAGTTGTCCGCTGCTTGGTTAAATAACTCCTGGACTTGTTTCAATTCCTGTTCTGGTAGTAGCAAAAACTGAGTTAGCTAGTCAAATCAAATTTGATATAGTCGACCTTGTCAAGTTTGGATTAAGCCAAAATTTACCAAACTTGACCCATAATATAAAATATGTTTTTTTGAGGCACTTTTTTTGGGCTATCATGGACTTGAGTGTTAAATCTTATCCATTAAAGTAAACTCTTGTTCTTTAATCTATTTGTTAATGTGTTAAATGTGTCTATAACTATGATTTTCTATGATTGTTGCCAAAGGTTCAATGAAATTAACAACAATCAAAGATGTAATTACCAATAATTGATTAACCTTTGTTATCAATACATTGATTTAGTAACAGTTGGAGATACAAGTAGCAACGAGTGATACCCTTTGTTTCCAGTTCATTGCTTTGGTAAAAGTTTGATATTCAATGAGCAACAGTTAAGTAACCCTTGTTGTCAATTCATTTAATTTGGCAACAACATTGATCAAGTATTGATAAAATTTTGCTTTGGCAACAATCATTTGTAACTGTAACAAGTGCATGTTGCTAAAGGCAGGATTTTTTGTAGTTACTGTGCCATCATTAGTTGGTTTATGCGCTCCTCATAATATATAAGCTATATAGAAAGGAAAGTTTAAAGCTCAATAACTAAAAAAAAAAGAAATTTTTTCTACTATTCTACAGATAAAGAAGTAGAAATACAGCACCCTATACATTGCATGAATCACCGCTAGAGCTCATATGTGCCTCCTCCTACTCTCCTTTCTCGCACATGTACATATTTATTTTTAAATGAAATCATTAAAAATATAATAAGACAAAATTAAAACCCTAATGAGTCTTCATCATCTATCATAAATTCCATATTTACTCTACAATAACACCATTACTCTCTCTCTCCCCCCTCTCTCTCTCTTGCTTTAATAGTCAATGTTTGTAACATTTATCCTTCCCATTAAATCCCTCTTTTCCTCCTAAATCTCTTTAATCCCTCTTGGCTCTATGTAATAATGCAGGGGTGTTAACTAGATGGATTAGGTTAAGTTAGGGGCCAACCTAAATATGAACCCTATTTTTGGCCCAAATTTGCCCACCAATACATGAGGTGAACCAACTTTCTTCTTATATAAAAGTCTAAATAAACCATTTTCCTTTCCATGGGTTATTAGGTTTTTCGCTATTCTTTTTTTAATTTGATGTATATTTGTTTCATGGATTTTTCTTGTTCAACAATAAAAATCACTTAACATGAACCTTTGGTTATCTTCGTCAGTTGAAACTTGAAATTGTTTTTTAAATTGGTTATTGATCTCATGTTAAGCACATTCTTTGGCTATGTAAAAAGGAATAAGTTTGAAGCTCAATAACTAAAAAGGCAAAGAATATTATTTTTCTATATGTAAAGAACTAYAAATATATAAAAACTTTGGTGAATCAATGTTACTTCATTTTTTCTCTTAATAATATATTTTATTTTTAAAAAACATCCCGTGCATCACACGGGTCTCCGTTAGTATATATAACACATATAAATTATACTAATTGGTTTGGTTAACTATTGGTTTTTCTTTTAGGATAACTAAAGCTGAATTGATACCATCAGTTTTTTGAAAAATACTGAACTGATACTGAACCATTCGATTTACAAGGTGTTTTGTAGTGTGGTCGAGAAATTAGGAGGTGTATTCTCAACCATACCATGCTATAGCAAAATAAGCATTCTATACTATGGTTAAAATTTGGTAGTTTGAACCACACCACACTTATATAGGTGTTCTACAAGGTGTTGAGTGGTTCAAGCCACACCTTGTATTTTGATTATGTGTATCTCATATACACAACCTGAGGTGATCTACACCGTCGATCAAGAGTAATATTTTTTGGGAAATTATAGTTTGAGCCAAATCAACATTTAAAATGATGCTGCAAACTGGTTTATGTGGCTATATGTTTCAAATTATAAAAGCCTCTGCCATGTCATTGAAAGTTTATGTGGTTGTTGCCAACATGGAACTCTTAATCCATGTTGGACACAACAAAATGCGTATATTAAATTGCCCTTAATGCTGCGTTATTTGAAAATAAAAAGGGTTTTCAGTTTCTTCCTCTGTCTTTCAATCTCCCTCCCACTCTCTCACTCTCATAGTCGTCTCTCTACTCAATGACTATGTGATTTGAAAAAAAGGTTTTACAATCTCTCTATCAATCTCTACTTCTTTGTCAATCTATTGTTCTCCCTCGATCTATGTCATTATGTTTCTCAATTAATCTCTTCTTCTCCTTCGTTTTCTCATTCGGTTGATCTCTCATTCTCCCTCAATCTCAATCATTCTCCCTCAGTTTCTCTCATGTTCTCTTTCTCGTTCTTTTTTTTTTATTTTTCTTACACACTTATATGGTATTAACCATAATGTATTAAACATAAGACCAACTTGGTATGGTTCTAACTTCCTTAGCTCAACTTGATAAAAACTCACAAGAAACTCTTGGCTATAAAATTCACACCTACTTGATAGAAGTTTATAACTTGATTGTACAAGTGATTGGTCTTATGTTTTTTTATAGGGTTTGATTAATATTGTATAAGTGTGTAAGAAAAATTTTAAAAATGAGAGAAGGAGCAAGGAAAGAGACTAAGAGAGAACGATAAAGATTGAGGGAGAAGGAAAGAGAAAGAGAGAGAGATTGACAAAGAATACGTAAGTATAGAAACTGTGAATCAATTTTTGGCTAAGTACCTCGCCATTTGGTTTGCTTCCAGGTGGTCAGTGATTTAGAGGCCGAAGTGGAGAACTTTTGCTAGATGAGGACCTGGATGTCGGGTTGACCAGGCCGAGCTGGGGGCAGATTAGGTGCCGAACTGACTGAGCTGAGCTGGACAGGTTATGTGCCGAACTAACTGAGCCGAGCTGGGCAGGTTAGGTGTCGAACTGATTGGGCCAAGCTGGGCAGGTTTAGGTGCCGAATTGTCTGGGCCGAACTGGGCAGGTTAGGTGCCGAATTGACTGGGCCGAGATGGGCAGGCTAGGTGCCAAAATGACTGGGCCGAGCTGGGCAGGTTAGGTGTCGAACTGACTGGGCCGAGTTGGGCAGGTTAGGTGCCGGACTGACCAGAGTGTCGAGCTACCTATCAAGTGTTGAGCTGACTAGAGTGCCGAGCTGACCAGAGTGTCGAGCTGCCTATTAGGTGCCAAGCTGACCAGATTGTCGAGCTGACCAGAGGGCCGAGCTGCCTATTAGGTGCCAAACTAACCAGAGTGTCGAGCTAACTGGTGGCGAGCTGGATTGATTGTTGAGCTTCGTAGTTCTTTAGAGACCTGCAAAGAATCAATGTCAGAGGACCGGGGTGGGTAACCCGGCGAAGTCGCTCCGATGATTAAGTCAGTACTCTTATAGTAGACTGCGAGCAAAAAATCATAAAGTATGAGAGCTAGAATATGCTTACTTGCCCCCCTCCATTCCATTGGGGTTTGTGCCATTATATCGGCATTGTCTGGCGTGGGCTTCACGCACCGTATCCAAACTTTCCGAGAGGTCGCCTAAGTGGTCCGAGATTTCCGGAGGCAACCGCCATGCACGTTGACCACCCTCTGGATCGTTCGGTACATGGGCCAACTTCCAAGAATCGTGGAAGTGTTGGGATATGCATGCCGAATTTGTCGGCGAGCACGTCACGTAGGTCACCAAGTCGGCGCCTATGCCAGGTCGCCAGGTCGACGCCTGTGCCAGGTCGCCAAGTCGGTGCTTGTGCCAGGCTGCCATTTCGGCGTGAAGGGATGAGAGATCCATCATATGGATAGCCGAACCCTACAGGAAGGTAGGGCGAAATTTCAAAAATTTCTCTCTCCCATGTGGGAATCACATTCCCTGTTTTAGAAAATCTGCATTATCAATGATCAATCTTGAACCTAAATCGAACCAGATCTGAAACCAAAAGGTAGGAAAGGGATATACCTGATACGGAGTAACAGTAACTCCCAACGAAGGTGTTCAAACCCAAGGAAAACTCCAAAGACTGCTCCCATTGAAGATGACACAGCGTAGGGTGGAGCAGAATCAGTAGGTGGTTCTTCACAAGAACCAAATCCTTCAGCAAGAATTCGATGGAGGGTTTGTGAGCACGACTTCATATCAGTTTTTCTCCAAAAACTAATATCAAGAACCCTTCTTGATTACTCCTATAGTGGAGAACGAACTGGCAATGGCGGCAACAGGAGGAGGGTGCAAGAACAGAAGATGGTGCGGTCTTACTGTTGTTGGCTTCTCTCTCGGATCTAAGATCTTAATGTTGTTTTTGAACGATTCGCCCCCCTCCTCCTTTTATAGCCTTAAAGAGATCAACTCCTAATCCCATTAGGAGTTTCTTAATTCAAATCCTTATTTGAATCTGGACATTCTTTAAGAGATAATGATAAGCCCTTATCTTATCTGTAGATTAGATCAACCCTCCTAAACTTATTAGGAGTTTCCAAATCCAAATTTGTATTTGGATTAAGACTCTCTGAGTGGATCAGGATAATCCCTTATCCTATCTGCTGATCCAAATCCCAGATCCGCCCCTCTTTAATTAATCTAATTAAACCAGTTCGAATTGGGCTTTAGGCCCATTAAGTCCATGTGCTCAATAACCTTCCAAACTGCTGCCCAGTTAGATTTCCTTGTATGGTGTGGGACAAAAACATTGATCTACACATCAGGCACATGGGTTCAGCCTAGCCTCTGTTACAAGGCCTGGCCGAATTCACTGTTATGGACAGTAAACCTCTGAGCCCATCACCATGGGCTCTTAATGGGCCCAACACTTACACTGAGTGGTCCCTGGGTCAAGACACCTTATAAAAACCCAAGGACTGTGGGCAGATGCAAGATTAGCCCATCACGTATTACCCTCAATGGTTTTACACTTAACCTCTCAGCCTGTAATGATCAAACACTGCCTGACAAGAGAGGACCTCTCCCTCGGCTGCAAGGAACAGTGCTACACTCTTTACTCACATGGATCCCGGGAATTAAAACCTTTTGCAAACATTTTGAAACTACAATATATATATATATATATATATATATATATATATATATATATATTGCAAAAAACAAATTTCAACGATTGAAATCGGCTACTAGCAGCTTTGATTTCCATCAGAGAGAGTGCATCCCCGATCATTACCTTTGTCCAATAAAGGGACTGATCCTGTCACTATGATCACCCACTCAGAGAATTCTTGGACTGTCTCAACATACCCAGGTTTTGACCCCCTCTAAGGATCTTACTAATTGGCATATCAAAGATAGCCCAGTCTGACACCTCGTGCAGTATCATAATCGAGTCTAGGGGTCAGGTGTAACATTCCAGTTTTGCCCATCAATCTCCAAGGTCCAGGGCAATACTGGAATTTTGGTTCGGTTCAGGGTTTCAAGAAAAACCCACTTTGCAGGTACCTCAGGTCTCACCCTGGCAGTTGAGACAAGCCACCCCAACCAACTTGGCGGCACATCAGTGTCTGCCTTGGCAGAATAAATCTCCCTAGATCTATCCAACGACTGTGAAGATTTTAAACTAACATGAGTCTCATATGTGTCCAGTTTAAGGGTATTACACAGAAACATACCATAATAACATGGATCAAATATGTACTTTATTAAATGTCATAATGTACATCATTTTGATTGGAGCTAAGGGCATACACTGTCTAACCCGACGCCTTTGTTAGGTCAACAGGTCGGCGCCTATGCCAGGCTGCCAGTTTGGCGCCTGTGCCAAGTTGACAGCTGGGACACCATCATCTTGGCTAAGGCAAGTTTTTGCCTAAATGGTTTTGGATGTCACCTATTTGTTCCGAGATGCCACGTGTCACAATGTCATTGGAGGGCCAAATTCGCCATCAGAAACCAACAACCATTTTTGTTTATTTTTAAATCATACAATCGTTGAGAAGAGAGAGACGACTATGAGAGTGGGAGAGTGGGAGAGAGATTGAAAGATAGAGGGAGTGGAGAGAGACTAAAAACCCTTTTTATTTTTAAACAACACAATATTCATGGCAATTTCAATATAGGCTTTTTGTTGTGTCCAACATAGGTTAAGAATCCCATATTGGCAATAGCCACATAAGTCTCCGATGACATGGTGGGGGGGGGGGGGAGTTTTTATAATTTGAAATATAGAGCCGGCTGCTAGAGTTTTGTTGGTTTCTGAACCAACCTATAACCTAATTTTAAATGTTGAGCCATTCAAACTATAAATTTTCCTACTTTTTTTTGGTGTTTTTAAGTTAAATGCAAATGAATAGTATGAATTAGTTTAACATGTGATAAAAAATAAAAAAATATCAATGTTTTAAAAACCAACCCAAAGGCCAAACTGTGTTTGCCTTCGGGTCACAAGTCATTGGTTCAACCGTTTTGGGTCAAACGGGCTAAACCATGCCACACCAACAATACATTAATCCATATATATATGTATGTATGTATGTGTGTGTATGGATATGTATAAACATGTATTTTATTAATAAACAATGTATAATTATGTTCTATATGCAATATATGCATTATTTTATATTTGATTTTTGTTTTTAATTTTTTTATTTGTAAAAAATATTAAAAATTGTAAATTGAGGCCCAAAATTTTTTTTTGGCAAAAATAACGGGGCTAGGCGCCTATGGCCCCTTGGGACACATAGATCTCGAAAAGTTTCCAAAAATAAAAAAAATCATCTCAATCATGCATCGGAATGCAAAGTTATGGCCTCTCAAAGTTTGTAGACATAGATAGTATGCAACCCATGACCCAATTGGTCACTAGGTCAAATGGGTCAACGGTCCATCTGTCTAGGTTGGATAGTTTTGACCAAGTCAATAGTTGTAACCATCCACTGAGTTTTACTAAAATCATATACATAATTGTGATTGGGTGATGGCTCGAGTGGTTTAACTGGTCGGGCTAATGGTGGATCAAAAACACTACAAATTAGTTTTGATTAAAAATTTAAAACATTAATAATAAAATAGTAATTAAAAAACCAGTAATAGTAATAATAAATTGAAAAACTAATATTGATAAAAAATTATAAGTAATATAAAAATATAAAATACATATATAAAAGAACTAATAAAATAATAACTAATAATAAAATAAATTTAATTAACTATAATTTAAAATATTAAAAATGAGCTTGTGAAACACCGTAGCCGGCGTTGGGGCTATAATACCCGGGGCGTGGCTGAGGCCATGAGAAAAACCTGTGGCCAATATTTTAGGCGCGATAAACACCACACCACGATATGATGGAGTTCAAACAATGCCACACCACAACCGAACGATTGAATAAGGTGTGGGGTGATTTGAAACCCAATATATCAAGGTTTTACCACACTTCGGAACATCGCCTTAATTAATCATATTTTTTTTCGATTGGATTTCTCAATTTTTGTTGAGCACCCCTAATTCTTATATCTCTATTTAGACATCACATCTTCATATACAACAACAACGCATTGGCGAGAGGAAGGGTGGAGAGGAGAAAAAAGAGGTTTTATTTTGAAAAGATGTTCTCTAATTGTTTTTATTTCTCATTCAATGAATATTTCAATATTATCCTAAACAAAATCAAAATTTTATTATATTTACAAATGCAATTTTTTTGTTAAGGGGTCAACTTGTATAATTTTATTGGAAATATGGGGGGGCGTTAAAGCAGTTGTTAGAAATTTTAGCGGAGGTTGACCCAACTTGAAAAAAGTGGACAAGGGTCTAAGGCGGTATGACACAACCTGATCGAACCCGAAAAGAAATTGGGTTGGGTCAAGTTGGGGTCACCCATTTTTCAGATTTTTTTTTTTTTAAATTGGTGTTGATGTAGGTGGTTAAACCATTCAAACCATTTGAATCTGACAATTAAACCCGTCTTAATGATTAAAAAATGTTGTTTTGGTCAAAGGCCATTGATCTAAGCGATTGAACCATTTGCATCTGACCAGTCAATCAACCCTAACCTAAATTTAGGGTTAGAAGTTTCTTAAAAAAAGAGGAAATATAGGGTTAAAAGTTAGAGCAAAGCTTTGCCAACCCAACCCAAAAAGGACGATTCGAACCGAAATATTGGCCCGATTCGAAACCGACCCGGTTCCGATCGTATTCCTAACGAGTCACGGGTCACAGCCTCACAGGGTCATGAGTACAACTATTTCTTTTGAATGCTGCCCGAAAGATATGATACCGTGTAAAGGCTTTAACAGTTTCACCAATCAAAACCCTCATCAATTTGATAAACGATCATATGATTGGTTACCACTAGTATGATACCGGTGATTGGTTGCAAGTTTTTTCGGCATCATAGTCCAACTCTATCGTAATCTCCATTCCCCCCTGTCGGCCTGCCTGTACATTTAAAACCAGTATCACTTCTCAAAGGACCTTCTCTCAGAAAACCTTTCTAGGGTTAGGGTTTCTCTAATCCCAATCCATCGTCTCTCATTAGTCTCCTGTTGTACGGTAAGGGGTACAACCTTACCTATTGTTTATCGTCGTTGTTTTTCTTTACAGGGTTGGTTCTTATACTCCGTCGTTTTTCTTTCAACTTCTTTTTATCAAGATTACATATTTCAATCCAGTTATCACTACAGTCTGTAGAGGTTTTTGGACTGGTAGGGCTCTATCTAGTGCTCGGATTTCTTTATCTGGCAGTGGGTTAGGGTTAGGGTTCTTTTCGATATCTATCATCGCTTAGGGTTTTTCCGAAGATGATGCAACCTGCAACAGGCGTTGTTCCACCACCGATGGTTCCTCCACAAATGGATCAACAGCACCAGCAGCATCCGCAGCAACAACCACCGCCGCAACAGCAGTGGATGATGATGCCACCACAGCAGCCTCTTCAGCCTCAACCCCCTCCAGTGTGGAACCAGCAGCCCCCTCAAGTGCAACAGCCGCAAGTGCCACCCCAGCAACCTCAGCCCCAAGCGCAGCAGCCGCAGCCGCAGCCACAGCATCAGTATCCACCTACACAACCCACAAGCGCAGACGAGGTCCGGACGCTTTGGATCGGAGACTTGCAGTACTGGATGGAGGAGAGCTATATCCACAGCTGTTTCGCTCACACGGGCGAGGTAACGAGCTGTTTTTCAATGCTCTTCCCATTATACGTTGTTTTCTTTAGTTGTTGATATATTTTCTTGCACGATTAAGTTCTAAAAGTTGCTTTTAGTTCGGGAATTGGGATCATTCAGGTGCTTCATATGTCACGAGCTATTCGTTTGATCTTAAGCAGTGTTTTCTTTCCTTTAATACATAGGCACAACAACATAAAAAATTCACTTGGGTTTGCTACGAACAGGATTTTGAGCAACCTCGTCTTGTATAGTTGATGATTTCGTGGCAGAAAACGATGATATAGTTGTATAAATTGTCTTATCAGTTATTCGCCCATCAACAATAAAAAATACCACAATCCCCCCACTCTCTCCTGTGTGTGTCTGTGTGGTGGAGTTATCATGTCTTTACTTGTATGGAATACCAAAACACCACAAGGGCAAGGTATACTTCATTGCTCATAGAGTAACTTCTATTTCTTCAGGATGAGTGGACAGCAAGGCCATAAAGGTTCAGGGGTTCATTGGGAAGGGGAAAGTGTTTTATGAATGAAATATTGGCTACATTATCCGGGCCATGGTCAACTACTTGAGGTATTTGGCCGATATTGTGGGACATTGACATTTTTTCTGGCCTTCATTATGCACTGTTATTTTGTTGTTAATATTTGTTACACTTATTCTTCTCCTCTGCACTGTTGTTTTATTGGAATAACTGAAGAGGAATGAGGTTCTCATTTAATGTCTATTCTGAATGTTTTCTTAATGGAACTGGGTTATAAACACATTATTTTGTACCAATGGGTCCAAGTGTCCAACTACAATGCCAGAAAGGCATGATATTTAAAATGCTTATAGCCAATTGATCAGTCTGATAAAAGTTCTAACCAATCATATCTTTCTGGCGTCATAGATTTACTCTTTATTGATGGTCATAAATGCATTGTGACTGTGAATAATTCTTGAAAGTGCCTTTGGTTCCAATAAGGTATTAATGCACTTTGTATTTTTTTGTGCTCTGCTGCCTTTAACAGAACTCAGGAAGGATCGAGCAGTTGTGCTAGTCTGTAATATTATTTTTTATGTGCATTCCTTGTGTATTAAATTATAATTGTTTGCTTTTCTGATTGATTAAGTTGTTATTTGTTTCTCTGACACTCTCAGTTTGATGGTTATATTTGTTTCTGTTTATAGGTTGCTTCTGTGAAAGTGATCCGCAATAAACAAACCGGTCAATCAGAGGGTTATGGTTTCATTGAGTTTGTAACTCGTCCTGCAGCTGAAAGGATCTTACAAACGTACAATGGCACACTAATGCCCAATGCTGAGCAAAACTTTAGGCTGAACTGGGCTTCTTTTGGTTTGGGTGAGAGGCGTCCAGATGACAGCGCTGACTTTACAATTTTTGTTGGTGATCTAGCTTCTGATGTCACGGACTACATGTTACAAGAGACATTCAGGAGTCACTACCCTTCTGTGAAGGGTGCGAAGGTTGTAACTGATAGAACTACTGGACGTTCAAAGGGATACGGGTTTGTTAGATTTGGGGATGAAAGTGAACAGATACGTGCTATGACTGAAATGAATGGAATTTTCTGTTCAACACGGCCCATGCGCATTGGTCCTGCTACTACAAAGAAGAATGTAGGTGGTCAGCAATATTCGAAAGGTATGCACTTGACTTTTATATTGTTACTCTTGTTATCATTTTTTTTCAATGTCTGCTTTTTAGTACTAAAATGTAAAATCATTGTAGGGTAGATGCTTATTTCTTATGAAAACTAATGTTCTAAAAACAAATGTTGTTTATTTTGTATCCTTTTGTTTTGTGTTAGCATTTCTCTCAAGCATGGGATGTATGCTTTAACCTTTCTTGAGGCATTATTATGACATGCTGTTCTTAAGTTTGTTTCTCCTTCAGTTATGAACTTGAAGATAAACAGAAGCTTACAAGTCATTTCCTTCCAGTTCTTTCCTTT